GGCACTCAGACCCCTCTCTATGGTCCAGGCACTCAGACCCCTCTCTACGGTCCAGGCACTCAGACCCCTCTCTATGGTCCAGGCACTCAGACCCCTCTCTACGGTCCAGGCACAAAGATCCCTCTCTATGGTCCAGACACTCAGACCCCTCTCTATGGTCCAGGCACTCAGACCCCCTTCTCTCCACATAAAACCTCAGCCTACTGGGAGTGTGAGGTCCACATATATCCTCAGCCTACTGGGAGTGTGAGGTCCACATGTCTCCTCAGCCTACTGGGAGTGTGAGGTCCACATGTCTCCTCAGCCTACTGGGAGTGTGAGGTCCACATGTCTCCTCAGCCAACTGGGAGTGTGAGGTCCACATATAACCTCAGCCTACTGGAAGTGTGAGGTCCACATATAACCTCAGCCTACTGGGAGTGTGAGGTCCACATATAACCTCAGCCTACTGGGAGTGTGAGGTCCACATCTCTCCTCAGCCTACTGGGAGTGTGAGGTCCACATATAACCTCAGCCTACTGGGAGTGTGAGGTCCACATATAACCTCAGCCTACTGGGAGTGTGAGGTCCACATCTCTCCTCAGCCTACTGGGAGTGTGAGGTCCACATCTCTCCTCAGCCTACTGGAAGTGTGAGGTCCACACGGTGCTACGAGGAAGATTACATCATTCAGCTACATTGACAATGCGCTCCATCTGTGTGTCATCAGACACTGAGCAGCACATGAAGACGTCTCTACAGGAACGTAATCCAATGACACATCTATTTTTTATTCGGCATCCAGTCCAAAATCATCTCGAAGCTTCTAAAATCTCGAATTGATATTTTAGTGGCAACGAATAAACATTTTTCATTCTTATTAACTGGAGAATAAAAGAACCTAAATGGACACTAAACATTTTATGGCGCCAATTGCCAAACTTCGTCTCCAGCAAATGTTTTGCCTGTAATTAAAATGTCTTTAATAATGTCCTGAAATCATATCTGGCATCTCTTTTATATGCTAATTTCTGGGAGAAGTGTACGTGGAAAGCGCTGACGGGATCCTGCTAATTATTTCGGGACGTTGGATATAAATCAGGGAGGTTTTATAGGGCAGAGGATATAAACACATCAAATGATCAGATAACAGATAGCAAATGTTTTATCTCTTTATCGGTAGATTCGGCTTTATTGCGATTTGTTCTCGGAATACTCGGAATACTCAGAAAGCTGCATTTGTTCTATAAAAAAAACTGGAATTGATTTTGTTGTTTGTAAATTCTGGCAGATTTGTTCTGTTTTGTATGTTCATTAGCGAAGGTTCCGGTCTGTTCTCAATTAGTTTTAGTATCTTCGTCAATTAAAAACAAATGTGTCCTTATGAGGGACCTGTAACTCATCCGCCGCGTGATCACCTCCATGTACTTCCTATGGAACATATTCATTCATCCGGCGGGGCTGCAAGGGGGTCTGCGCTGCCCCCATCACATTGCAGCCATGATGGAAACCTTCTTCCCACTCCTACCCATCCAGACCCCTTAGCCAACCCCCCCCTCCACACAAAACACCCCCTACTCACCCCAGCCCTGCCATTTT